GGTTACAAATGAATTCAATTTACTAGAATACCTTTGATAAGTGTATTTTTTTCTTTCCAAAATGCCCTTTTCATCATTGTTCACTAGGCCTCATTAAAACTCAAACTTTAAAATTTTATTTTTTTTATTGATTAATCTTAACCGTTGATTATGGATTTGGATGGCCAAGATCAGTTAATAAGGTTAACACAAAAATTATGGTTAGCATTTGATTTTGGCCCTATATATATGTGTATATATATATATATATATATATGTGTGTGTGTGTGTGTGTGTGTGTGTATATATAAACATGGGATCATGTGAGACCAAAGGTTTTTCGTGAGACCCGTAAGACCAATTCTCAATCATTGGATTAGATCTACAATATGACAATCTGAGCATTCATAAATGCCACGAGACTTCTCAATAATCACAAAATTGTCACCGTGCAACTTTAGACAATTAGATCATTAGCTTATAAAGTTGATCAATGAACATAAATTGGTCTTACAGATCTCACGTAAACCCAACCCTCTATATATATATATATATATATATATATGTGTGTGTGTGTGTGTGTACTATAACAAAATTGGGTTTATAAGACATCATTATCTAAATATTCTAATAAATTGTTTTATAGGTACGGATGGCAAAAAACCTCACACCGTACGTGAAACCCGATACTCTACCGCGGTATGATCGGGAATCCCAAGTTGACCGGGGATGGGGAATCCTTGAATTTATTAATCAGGGATGGGGATACCCTTCATCCCCGACCACGAGTATTAATTACACATTTCAATGTATATATATATTAAATATAATAATATAGTGAGAAACTCGATGAATATATATAATGTATAGATTTAATCAATCTTCCATGATGAAAACTTGTAAAAAAGTTACATTATTGATATAGTTGTTCATGAGAAACTTTTGCTGATATAACGAGGTGGTTATATAAAACTTCAGTTATTAGGTATCGTAATTGATATAATTTTTTTGAACCATTTTTTATGTTACTCTTATACAAATGCAACAATTAAAATTTGGGTAATTAATATTTTAGCATTATATGTCATTTAAACGTAAAAATTGCCATTTATATACATAATATCTAAAAACATTACGTAAAATATTAAATTGTATAGACGGAAAAAATTTCCCGATGGGAACGGTGACAAGGATGAAATCTTGTTCCCCTATGGGCATGGGGACACGGATGGGAATTGGAAACCGGGGTTTGGGAGTGCGATCCTCGATATCTCTGCCTTAGTGTCATCTCTATTTACAAGACATATGTTTATAAGATGATAAAATTTTATATCAAAAAGTGTTGCAATAAGTTTATAAGACGTTTTCGGGCATCTAACAAATTTTTTAGAATACTTTTAAAAATAAATCGTTTTATTGCTATTTTTATGGGACATTATTTGAAAAAAGTCTTATAAAACAATAGTCCTATAAAAAAATGTGTTTCTCATAAATGTCCTATAAAATAGCTAATAGTACACTTTATTTTAAAAGTGTCTTAAAAAACTTGTTAAGACCCTTAAAACTAGGGTGTAAACGAGTCGAGTCGAGTCGAGTTGAGTAGTAGGTTAATCGAGCCGGACTTAAAAAATTAATACTAGGCTCGAGCTCGATTAGCTTTTTCAATAGAGGGCTCGAGCTTGAGCTCGAATATTTTTTGAGTTATCAAGCTCGATGCTCGTTTATGGCTTCAAATTCACAATCGATTAACTTGTATATTGGCTTGTGCTCGAAATTTTTTATATTTTTATCGTATGATTAATAAATATATGATCATGTTTGGTTCGAAAAAAAAGGGTATTCACGAATGGCTTGGCTCGACTTCAAAATTGAATCGAGTTTTCGAACAAGCCGAGTCAAATATTAGTGTTACAAAGCTTGGCTTGTTAAATTAAACGAGTTCTATTTTGTGTTGAAGATCGACTCGAGCTCGTGAATTATTAAGCTTGAGATCAAGATAAATGACCTCGAGGTAGAGCAGCTCGTTAAAAACTCGAATCGTTTACACCCTTACTTGAAACTTTTAATATATTTATTACAACACTTTTAGATATGATGTTTTATTGTTTGGTCTCATAAACTTAGGCTCATATAGTGGTCTATTAGAACATTTAAACATTGTTGACGTCTTATAAACCCAGTTTTATTGTAATGATGTGTGTGTGTTTTTTTAGGGGAGCATATACAACAAGTAATATGGTTTAGTTGTTTTTAATCTCAAAAGCACAAAATTGGGTTAATAGGACACAAAAACGTCTAAGTGTTTTAATAGACTGTTTTTTCAGACTTAAGAGTATTTAAACAAACAATTGTACGTCATATATAAAAGCATTGTAATAAGTTTACATGATATTTTTTAAATTATTAACAAGTTTTTATTACACTTTTTTGTAATAAAACGTCCTATTAATTTTTTATATGACACCAAAAACGTCTTATAAAAATATGTTATAAAACATTTCTGAAAATTTTCTTGTAAAAAAAAACTAATGCGGACGCTTTATTTTGAAAGGACCCAAAATTTCAGTTTAAACACCCAAAAAATACATATAAATTTATTGTAATACTTTTATATTAGATGAAAATTGTGTCAAAAAATACGGTACTTAGGGGCCGTTTACCAAACACTTACACGAGTAAGCGTTTATCAAGTCGTGTTACCTCACCGGATGAATATGGTAAGGACCACGAATCTTACCCGTTAAGAGCGAGATAAGGACCATGAGTCTTACCCCGTAAGTGAGGGCGACGACTCTTACCATTACCATGGTAAGAGCTTACCGGGTAAATTGTTACATACGATGTCGTTTTGGTAGACTAAAATCTTATTCAATAAGTAAATAATAGTGTTAAATTTTACTTGTAAGCACTTATCGGTTAAGTGTTTGATAAACGGACACTTAATTATTTTAATTAAACTATAGACACATAAATCAGAAAATTCACAAATACTTATGATTGGTTATAAATTTGTTGACTTTGTTAAACACAAATAAAACGTACCCAAAAGTTTAGAAAGACATTTCATTTTGCACTCAATCACTTATTTACTCAACACCTAAAACAATTATTTTTCACTACTTCAAACTCTCCTATAAAAACCACCACTAATCTACACAAAAAAATCACAATCATTACACAAACTCATACCTTCAATCTTCACCATGAAGGGTTCCACCCAAGTAGCTCCATTGTTTGTGGTTGCCATCGTGTCACTTTTTCTCTTGTTTGTACCTTCCACGGACGCTGTGTTGTCTTGCAACGCAGTCATCCAGACTGTAGCACCCTGTGTCAATTACCTCATAAATGGGAGCGAGATGCCCTCATCTGCTTGTTGTTCGGGTGTTAGGGCTCTTGTGACAGCCACCAACACCACAGCTGATAGGCAAGCTGCTTGTAGTTGTCTTGAGTCGACTTCACAAAACCTGAACCTGAATCTTACACTAGTTGCATCAATTCCGACGAATTGTGGGATCAATTTGGGATTCACCATTTCACCTGACGTTGATTGCACCACGTAAATTACGCTACTCTTTTTATTTTGAAAATATAGACCACTGGAGAACGCATCAATAGGTCATAGGTGACATAGCATCATCGATGCATCTGAACATCACCATATGTCAAATTGATGTTTTAATCGGTGTAGTATTTGAACATTTATATCGATTAATTAACGCACATTATATCTACAGTATCACTTGAAGTCTTGAAGCTAACGGATGGGAGATACCTCTACATGGAGCAAGAGTCAACTGAGTCTTGATATGCATCTAGAGTTTATGTTCATTTTTACCAGTTTTTATATAATAAGTGTTGTTTGCGCTACTCATTTGGGGTTAACACACAATCGGGGATTTGTGTACTACATCACATATACTTTATGTTTATGTAATGTTTTTCTTTTTCGATGTTCAATCTATTTGAATGATATATGGTTGGTTTAATGGGACCGGTTGGGGTTTTTGGTAGTTTCGTGGGACCGGGACCGGTTATGGGACCGGCTATGGACCGGCCCGAAAATTCAAATAATTTTATAAATAAATGTATCTTAAAATAATTTTATAATGTATTTTTATAAAACAATGTAATTTTAATTATATTAAAACGCATTTTTAAAGTGTATTTGAGTGACCCAAATGTAAATTTATAATGTATTAAAAATATATATCATTAAAAAAAATTAAAAAATCTTATTTTTTAATGCCGGGACCGGCAGCCCATAACCGGCTATGAAGTACTTTGACCAGTCCTACCATTTTCGACCGGGACCGGTTATGAGAAAGCTTGGGACCAATTAGGTCAAGCCCGGCCCGGTTTTTGGCCATCACTATTCCCCAACGACGATTGCCTCGGTACCCCTCTGCTTATGACAATATTTGTTGTTTTTAAAATTGGATGACATATTTTCGTCAATACTTTTTGATCTGACAAAGCTGATCGCATGTGGTTTTGTAGAGGGATACATGTCTATCGGTTTTTTTGCATCAAGACATGATCTTATCAGTTTTTGTAACGATATGTGAAGTTTTGGTATTATTATGAAAATGCAGTATCTTTCTAGTGAAGGTACATGACTTCAATGTTTTTCATGTGAAGGTATGTAAAAGTTAAGTGTTATTCATGTTAACATATGAAGGTACCTCCACAACCATTGTTGATGCAATTTAGGGGCTGTTTGGCAGTTGCTGAATGATTTTGTGCAGAATGGTTAAGTGGTCAGAATGATTAAGAGGGTCAGAATGATTAAGTGCTGAATGAAATATGGTTGTTTGGTAAATATTCTCTGAATGATAACAAATTACCATTTTAACCCTCTGTATAATTTAGTGCCGAATGAAATATAACTGTTTGGCAGATATCTGAATAAAACAATTACTTTGTAAATGTAACATTACAAGTTTTCATATTAATCCAAACCACATAACATTACTTGTTTAAATTCTTAAAAAAAATAAAAATCAAATTCCAATATAATTAATTATCCCATCGATAAGCTGTCCATCTTCACAAACCTCCATAACCTAATGAATAGAAAGTTTATCTTCCTAAGCACCTAAATTCAACTATATTTGCTTGCCCACTTAAATGCTGCATAATCTGAATCTCTCTTCTCATATCCTCTTTATCTCCTTTTGGTTTGCCGAGAATCGTGTTCGATTTGAAAACCCTTTTGGGGCTTGACAGTGGCTGTGGTTTTCTCGCCGGAGTTTGGGTTGCCGGAGGTGGGGATTTGGTGTAGAGTATGTTGGGGTCGTCGGATCTTTGATTTGAGTGAAAAACTACATCGGAAAACCCAGATGAAAATGGTGATGGAAAACCCAGATGAAAATGATGCGAGTTTTGCTGATGCATATACCCATTTTTTGGTGGATTGATGGAAAACCCAGATGAAAATGGTGAGATTTGGTGAAGAATTTGACAACCCAGATGGAGATTTTGGAGGAGATTTTTTTTGGGGGGGATGCGATGTGAAGGAATCGCTGGTGTAGAAAGGGCTGTAGATGGAGACGGTGGAGGCGACAACCGGCGAAGATGTGGAAGGCCGGAGATGGAGACGGTGAAGGTGACCGGAGATGGAGACGGTGGAAATCGTGAAGGCTATGCTGGAAGACTCCTCGRCTTGTGAAAGCGACGATGGAAGAGAGGGAAGGATTGTGATGCTGGAAGAGAGGAGTGGGAAGGGTAAATATGGAACAAATGATATCTGAATGGTTGAGTGAACTACTAGACACAAAATGGTTAAGAGGGTCATGTAACCATTAAGAGGTTTATTTTTTTTGCCAAACAGTCTTTACCTCTTACCGATTAAGAGGTTGGCTCTTAATGTCACCATTAAGAGCCAAACAAACAGCCCCTTACTGTGCCTCCACCAATTGATAATAATCTTCAAACCGAATAAAACATTGTTTTTTCTTCGTAGGAATCAGGTTTTTTCGAATTACCATCAGTTATATCAACTTTTTCATTCAAATTTGATATTATTACATATGTATGTATATAAGAATTGTGTAAAAATGTTTATAAATTAACTTATTTAAATATTTACTTTATTTGTGTCATTTTATAACTAATTATATGATAATATCAAATCATCAAATCACTTTTACGGATAAATTATCTAGTTCTGTCATATCCAGTTCTAGTCGTATAAAATACCAGAGAGACACTTGTCTTGTCTAGTCATGTCATGTCTAGTCATGTTCTCTTGTTCTGTCTGGTTTTATCTTACTCGGTAAGTGAGGGTGACGACCCCTTACCCGGTAAATTGTTGCATATGCTATCATTTTAATGTACTACAATCTTATCCAGTAAAATAAATTAGTGTTGATTCCTAACAGTAAATACTTACCGGGTAAGCATTTAAGTAAACGGCCCCTTAGTGTGGTTACATATCTCCTATCAAAATGGCTAACTCACAAGTTGGGCTTAGCACATATTAATAGTCAAGATGGGTCTTGGGCCTAGGGGTCCATTGGGAAACCTATATATACCATTCTAAATCTTTGATTTTTTGGGCAGATTTTTCACATATAATTTTTTGGGTTGTCTTGTTCTTCATCGACCTATTCTATATGGAAGCATAATTTGATTCGTCGGGTTCAAATTTGCTACTTGAACGGATTTTTGAATCACCTAGATAGACGTCCGCAAATCAACGGTACGAGGGATGATTTTCTATCTAAGGACACTGCAAACGCAGGCCTCAATCCACGATCTTGTCTTCATCAAATTCGCATCAATTTTATCGAGTTAGTCATCAATTTCTTATTGTTTTCAATTGTATTAACAATTATATATACATATCTATAGAGTTATTTTAATTTCTATCGATTCTAAGAACCGTTGTGTAGCGAATTTCTGATTCGAAATTTTAAGTTCTAACAGTTAAAAACACTTAAACATCATTTCATTAGAAAGAACGAAAGATAAAACGTATTTTACATTAGCATAAATTCTGGGTGATACAAATTATTTAGTTCAAAATATTGATGTGCGGAAACTTAAGTTCGTTTTAAGATCTTGATTTGCCGTTGGCGATAGCGATCAATGAAGAGGTCATGTGTTTCATTGCTAGGTTGTACTTGTTTTCGGAGATTGCTTTCAATAAACAAAGTATTGATTTATATGTTCGTAAATCAGTTTCAAGTGAAGATTGTTGGATCTTAAGCCTCTTTTATATTGATGCAAGAATAGTAGGTAGAGGTGAACAACCAAAACACAAATTTGATCAGAGTTAATTAAGGGGGTGTTTGGAATTGCTTATAAAAACAACTTCTTGATTTATTCTGGTGTGACACCGGTAACAAGCACTTTTGAGTGTTTGGATAAACAACTTATACCGGTGTCAAACCAGTAATAAGAAGTTTTTGAAGAACTTAAAGCCTTCTGACTTATCTATACTACCTTATAAACCAAATATATCAAAAGTTTTAAAAACAATTTTTAATACACAAAGTACTATACATTTATGCACAAAGTCTTAAAAACAATTCACAATGCATTAAGTACTACTACTTTATGCATTCAGTCTTAAAATCTCTTAATCTACAATTAAAATAACATATAGTGCAAGTTACCAATGCACATTATTACCTTTTCTTTTCATGTTTCCGAGATACTTTTGACACATTTCACTTATGCATTCACTCTCTCATACCTCTATGTCTTCTCCCCATCCCCCGAGATGAGATTCAAACTGATATTCACCATGAGTTATTAAAAGTTTTCGCATTCATCTCCCATTCAATTGTTCTAGAACTTTCAATCTCGCTTTCGATCTCTTGATTCTTTGCTCTTGGTGTAAATCGAACACGTTTGTGGAGTTGTTTAAATATGTTAGATTTTCAATATATTGGATTTTAAATTGTCATACAATTTTTTTCATCGATAGACTATAATTGAAATCATAACTCTTATTTATTCAGATTGTATTAATATGTAAACACCAAGTGTAACTTATATCATCGTTAAATCTTCTTAATAAAACCAGTGAAACTTCAAAATCGTTAAAATTCACGGCTCCCGCCGCATTGCGTGGGTACACAACTAGTAATAAGTTAATAAATGCTTTTACAGAAAAGCATAAGTTGTTTCAAATAAGCAATCTCGTAAGAAACCAAAATATGTAACAGTCCACTTGAAATATGAATATATTATATATATGATACATTGTTGAGATATCACTTTGTGTGTTGTTTGTAAGCCATATATCTGAGTTCTAACCTTCTTCAACAAGCCACCCTTGCAAGTTGTTTTCTTTGAGGAATTGCTAATAATTCATATTCCCTCTTATAATCATTTTTAACAGTTAATAAGTTTTTGGGTCATTAATAAATTTTTTAGAACACTTTTGTAATAAAACAACCTATTAAAACTTTTATGACATTATTTGAAAAAAAAATGGTTATAAAAACAAGTGTCCTATAAAAAATGTGTTAAAATATTTTTCATAAGCGTCATGTAAAAAAAAAAACCTAATAAAACATTGTTATTTTAAAAGTGTTTAAACTCTTGTTAGAACTCCCAAAAATGAATTAAACTTAGTGCAACCACTACAACAAAATCGGTTTTTTTAGGACATTCTCAAATTTTAAGTGTACTAATAGACCTTTTTATAGGACTTAGTTTATATGACCAAAAAAATAAAGTGTCCTATCTAAAGGTGTACTAATAGACCTTTTTATAGGACTTAGTTTATATGACCAAAAAAATAAAGTGTCCTATCTAAAGGTGTTGTAATAAGTTTATATGACACTTTTTGATGTCGTAATAAGTTTTTTATGACACTTTTAATATATAGCGTCACATTATCAACTTTATATATAGGACACTATTTGAAAAATTGTCCTATAAGAACAAATGTCTTATAAAAAATTGAGTTTATAGGACACTTTCTCAAAAGTGTCCTATAAAGTTGATAATGGGACGCTTTATATTAAAAGTGTAATAAAAAACTTATTACGACGTCATATAAACTTATTACAACACCTTTAGGTATGACACTTCATTTTTTTTGGTGTTATAAATTAAGCCCTATAAAGAGGTTTATTAGGAAACTTGGAATTTGAGAGTGTCCTATAAAACCGATTTTGTTGTAGTGAACGCTTTTATGTTAGACAGACAATTGTTTGGTATATAAATTTTAAGTCTTATAAAACAGTCTATTATAACATTTAAACATTTGTTTGCATCCTATATATAATTAAACTCAATTCTATTATAATTATAATGTAGTACTTAATTATTGTAACCAAACTATAGAAAAATAATCAGAAAACTCATTATTTATAAATTTATTTGACTTTTGTATACATAAATATAAGAAACCCAAAAGCTTAGAAAAGCATTTCATTTTACTTGCACTCAATCACTGATTTATGCAACACCTAAAATAATTAATTTTCACTATTGGCCCTCTACTTCAAGTTCTCCTATAAAAACCACCACTAATCTACTCATAAAATGCACAATTCCATAAACTCCAACCTTAAGGTTTCACCATGAAGGGTTCCAACCAAGTAGCACCATTGTTTGTGGTTGCGATCGTATCACTTCTTCTCTTGTTTGTGTCTTCCACGGATGCCGTATTGTCTTGCAGTACAGTCATCAAAGACGTAAAGCCCTGTGTGAGTTACCTCGTGAACGGGAGTGGGATGCCCCCACCCGCCTGTTGTTCGGGTGCGAAGGCTCTTGCGGCAGCCGCTAGCACCACTGTTGATAAGCAAGCTGCTTGTAGTTGTCTCAAGACGGCTTCACAGAGCCTGAACCCTAATCCCGGGCTAGCTAAATCACTTCCGGCAAATTGTGGGTTCAATTTGGGCTTCACCATTTCGTCTAGCGTTGATTGCACCAAGTAAATTACGCTACTCTTTTTTTATGACAATATAGACCACCAAGGAACACATCGATGGTTCATAATTGACTTAAATGCATCTGAACATCATCAATTTGGGCTTTGACCATTTAAATCAATTAGTTAACAAACTGTTATATCTGCAGAATCACTTGAATATTGAAGCTAGCGAAGGGAGATGCCTCTACGTGGAGCAAGAGTTAGCTGAGTCTTGATATGCATCTAGAGTTTATGTTGCATTTATATTCGTTTTTTATATAATAAACGTTGTTTCCACTACTCATTTGGGGTTAACATATAATGAGGGATTTGTGTACCATCATTTATACTTTTATGTTATATTTGCATGATATATGGTTGATATAATGATATTGTTCTAAAGATTGTGGTTAAAATATGTCATTCTTTTGTTTGTACCTGTTAAAAAATGCTAAATATCTCTAGCACAATAATTTGAATATAGGTTTTTTAAACAAACAAATAAACTACAACTGTTCACAGGCGGTACGACCCGCTAGGTCCGACCTGCTCGACTCGTTAGAAAAGCGAGCTTGGGCAGTCATTCTCGAAAAGGCTAGACCGCTAAAATTAATGGGCAAGCTTGGAGAATGGGAAAAAGAGCTTGGACAAGCTCACCCGGCCCGTTGTATTATTATAGTTGATTAAATTTTGTATATAATTAATAATTCACTGTTTTTTAATAAAAAGATTTAGAAGTGGCTCCGGGTACCAACCATCACCCAAATATCTATTACGTCTTATTGTACGCTCGAAGGAACTTGTGTAATTTAATTGATTCTACATAATCTATAAGTTTTCTTTTTCAAATGTAAAAAAAACTCATTAGCCCATGGGCAAGTCCAGCTTGCTTATAAGGCGGGTATAGGCAAGTCCATAAGAATGCAAAAGTGTGCTTGGGTTTGCTATATTAGACCTGTTGGACAAGAAAATTATGGTATACCCGACCAAAGCCCGTAAATGATCACCTCTAAAATAAACCCAAATTTGTGGAGTTTCATTTGACCATCAACATCAAGGCATCAACATGTTCTCTAATCAACTTGTCTTTTGATCCATAAGCAATTGGGCCGAATATGGGTTCCTTAATAGGGTCACATCGATTTGGGTAAGTCTTCTTCATGTTAACATATATGACCACCATTTATATGAAGGTTAGTGAATGTACCTCCAGGTTTCCTTTTTCATGGAGATTTATCCATCACAAAGATGCAAAAAAGAACAAAAAGAACTTCACTTTTCATTTTATCCCTGTAATTTATGTTTCTTACTCTAAAAATTCAATAAATGTTCAATGTATTTCTCACAAGTTTCATAACAAGTCTTAGGGGTTGTTTGGCAGTTGCTGAATGACTTGGTGTCGTATGATTAAGTGGTCAAAATGATTAAGTGGCTTTCATGATATAGTGCAAAAAATGAAATATAATTGTTTGAGAATTGTTTACGATGAAATCATGACGCTTAATGGTTAGGGAGGCTCAAGATACAAATTCATTCAGAAGGTTTTAGAACCATTAAGAGACATATTTTTTTTTTGTCAAACGAGATTTACCTCTTAATAATTCAGATGTTGTCTCTTAATGAAACTATTAAAAGGTAAACAAACAACCCCTTAAATTCTTCTCACATTTCTCACCAAAAACAAAAAAAAACTTATCACATGATTTCAATTCAATCATCTCACACTCCATTCTAAATACCCATTACTTTGTACCACCATTCTACTTTTCTTTGTCTATCATAGAATTGGTATGAAGATATACTATTGTTTTATCTCTCTCTTTATATATATATATATATATATATATATATATATATATATATATATAACCAAAAATTTTTGTGTTAACTTTGTTAACCAAGCTCAACCAATTATATTTCATCTTTTCTTTTTGTTCATATATAACTCATATATTAATGACAAAGGTAATTAAGTAATTTGTCATTTATGTAACTCCCAAATCATTAATTGGGAGTTACAAATCTAAAAATCTCAATAATTGATGATTATGTAATATTGATATTTTTTATACGTGTTCATGTTTTGTAATTTCGATTTATTCTATCCATGATGATATTGATTTTGTAATTGTTAAAGAATTTCCGATTGTAAAGATTTCGATATCGTCCGAGTAATATGGATAAACCTATTATAAAACATATCGACAACAATGAGAATGAAAAGGTTAAAATTGTCTACGACTACATTCGGAATTCGAATTCATATGTAATTGTTAAAGAATTGTTCACAAGTGTTCATATTGTGTTCATATGTACACTAGCTGCATATCTCAACATTGACTTGTTCCTGAATGTGTTCATAATGAAAGAACTATTGTTCACAAACTGTTCATATTGTATTCATATGTACACTAGCTGCATATCTCAACATTGGTTTGCTTATGAATGTGTTCATAATGAAGGAACTATCGTTCACAAACTGTTCATATTGTGTTCATACCTAGTTTTTTATTTATTTACTTTCGTATAACAACTATTCTTATTATATTCATAGTGTGTTCATAAATGCTATACAGTCCAAATTCATATATATGTCAATTTTTGTTCGTATTTGACACAATGGTTTATATATATGTGTGTGTTCATATGGTTCTTACATTAGCAAAAATAATAAGATTTTTTGATTTTGTAACTCTCAATTAATGACATGGGAGTTACATAAAAAAATTACCTAAATACCCTTTTCTCCTTTGTTCACATATGTTCTTTGAAATTGTAAATTTAAAAATTTAATTTTTTATCATGATTAATCACAACCCTTTATTGTAAGAATCAATGGTCAAGATTGGTTAACAAAATTAACACAAAAATCTTGGTTAGTATTTGAACCAAGCTATATA